TCAGGAAGAAAACATATAAATTAGGAAAATCACATACAGGAATGACGTTGGAGCCTATAGATTGCTTTGACCTGCAGTAGCAAAATATTGAAATGGTCAAACCCCTACCACATTTTTATCAAATGATGATGAGCTCTTTGTGTATAAAGATTAAGATCCTCACATTGTTCAAAAATATGTTATAGGCCATGATGGCATGGATTTTAGAGAGGATTACTTAGAGCTCTGGTAAACAAGAGTTGTCTACCTTGTTTTGTTACTAGATTATCTTAACTATATGTTGCTTTGCAGAGTTTTTTCCAGTTCGCTGATAAACATAGCAATATGCATTGATATCTCCTCATTCTGCAACTATGATGGGAGAAATTGAATATTATATATTACTGACTTGATTCTTACTTTCATTTCATTTCATTTCCATAGAAAGTGTTGGGTGCTTTTTACTGAATGCCTTCAATAAAAGAGGAATCAGAAAAATCTTATTAGGTTATACATGACATTAAGTATCTACGATTTTATGTATAATATTATTATAAAACAATCTAAGTGAATTAATATTAATTTTCCTATGTTTTTGAAAAATAACGTTGTTTTGTAAGATCACACCATTTCAGCAATTATTTACCTGTCCTTGCTTCAGAACGAGAGAGAGAGAGAGAAATGAGGTTTAACATCCACTCGACACAAAGCTTCAGAAACGATGTAAACATAAGTTATTGATGATTTTTTCGAAACTTTTGTACATTAAAGGAGTTAATATGCTTTGATTTAGGTTTAGTTAAAGAATAGAGTTTAGTTGATCTGTTGTGCTATTTCAATTAGTGATACATTTAAATTTTGGTTTTGAAAGATTAATGCTAATCAGTACAAAATCTAATAGATTGGCCATTATATTTTTCACCCAAATGAAAGTGGTCAAGCCATTTTATTTACTTTATTGTAATTGTAAGGACAAAGCAAATCTTTTCAGTCCCTGGATGACAACATACTTTTGAGAGGCAAGAAGGTTTGAAACGCCACTGATCAGTTATAATAACCATAAGTTATTGAAATCTAAAAAAAACATTGAAGAGATATGTTTTTCTAATTTGTTTGTTTGTACTGGAAGGTATTTCTCACTTTTCTGTCCTCCAGATTAGCCAGAAAAACAATTTAAGCATTACCAGGGTCCAGGTGTCTTAATTACACAATATAACAGGAAGGAATTTTTGACTGAATTGGATTAAACTTACAGAAGTTATTGTTAAAAGTGTGCCCTATTTAATTATTTTGCCATAACGATGTAACCTAATTAAGAATTTTGATGAATATGTTGGCCTAATTAAGAATTTTGATGAATATGTTGGCCGCATAAATTTGTGATAAATGTACAAATTCAAACTTCTATTTTGTGACAATCCTTGTCATAATGTATCTGGACTACAGTTTATGCCGAGTAACTGAACCTTCTGTTGTTGTTCGATTCCCCGGTTGTACGTGACAAGGAGTAGGGTTGCCTGTCCAACCTGGTGGGTTTTCCACGGGTCCTCCGGTTTCCTCCCACTGCTAAAGACCCCTAAGTACAAAGCGAATTATTGAAATAAAATTGAAACATATGTTAGTCCCTAAATGACCTAGTTTGTGTTGAGTGGATGTTAAACCCCATTTCTCTCTCTCTGTTGTTGTTGTTAGTGTTTAACGTCTGTTACCTCAGAAGGTGATATCGCATACAAGTTGTCATATTTTCATTTTTATTATCTTAGCGCATGTACAGTGCTTTTTCTGTGGGAGGAAACCGGAGTACCGTTCCCAGAGTAAACCCACGAGATTGAGAAGGCACCCCTATCTCCAAGCCACATACCTCACACCAGAGATTGAAACCACAACCGCAAGCCAGAGGTGACCGGTCAGCTAGAGGTCAAAGCGCCACACTCTAGACCACTAGGCCATCCCACCCACCCCTGATCATAGAAGTATCAGATTTAACATTGAGTATATCAGATGACTATAGAACATTATTACATATGTAACTAGGCCTTATCTAATATTGAGGTTAATTAAATTCTTGTTGATCGTGTTGAAAAGTATTCTGACAGATGACAACTCCCTTGAGGCAATTTTGATATATTTTACTTACAAAATCACTTAAAGTTTATAACCTATAAACAGAATATATTTAACATAGGTGACTGTACAAGTGCTTGTCACCTGACACTATAGCTGCCTTTTAGGACCAAGACCTGTTATTAAGTCATTATGATAGTAAGGCTGGAAGGTTATAGGGGCAAATCAATTGTACACAAATTATGTGTCTCAAAAATATACTTAAACCAAATAGATTCCTTTGCATGTTGTAGTTGGAATGGATTTTGCGACAGTCTGACGGACTACTGGACTGATCCAACATTATTTAATTGCAGTATTGATCTGTCATACACATTAATTACCAAAACAATGCACAAACATTATATTAGTTGAAAGTGGGCATATATTATTGACTTTTATTTGGAAGTATAGGGTCGGGCAATGGAACTAGTACTTCTTTTGATCTCTTTGATCAGTTGGAGAGTAAACTTTGTGACCCAAGTCACTAAACCAGGGAATAGATAATTTCAACTTTTGTCATCTTAAAAGAATCCCCGATCCACTTCCATTCCAGGATAACAACTGTCAATTGATGACCTGATAAAAATAGCCAATTGATCTTGCAGTTGTAACAAACATTCCTTTCATTTATTTACATGTACCAATTACCAAATGCTTAAGATTTTAAAATAATTCTTCAAGCTTGTAAACATGACAGAGATCAGATATTATAAAGGCATTCTTATCAAATTTGGTCAACATCCAAGTTTTCCTTTCGGATAAGCTGCTTTTGAGATATATAGCTGCTGTGTGCACGTATTTCCATGTTTTGCATGGCTTTCTTTTTAGTAGGAATTTAATTGTGGTATTTACTTTCCTAGCCTAGACTATTACCTTTGGGAATAATCTTTATATTATTTCTGGCAAATTCTTAAGTCAAAATCAAAACTCAACTGTACAATGCCAGGTAACTAAGCTACTAGTACTTGTAACTATAAAAAGGTATTTTCATTTCTTCAAAATATTCCTGCTTGAGTCATACAGGATGCACTTTTAATGACTGTAAAAAAAAGATTTTGTTTGGCTTTTCACATCATAAAAGTATGTACTTTATAATATGATCACAGCTATTTCTGTCTCATAACAGTATTTTGATTTTGCCCAGAGCTATTACATCTGAATAGAAAACTAATGTCAAAGATGCAGCTTTCTATTTCGTTGAAGGGTCCAATTATTAATAATTGTATCCTTGGGGTATTTTTTGTACAAAGTTTTATAACTAAGTAAATAATTATTTGCAATACAAGCTGATGGATTGGTTTAAAAAAAAACTTTTTCATCATTTGGGCTAACATACCAAAATACACAAATCTGTTGATTAGTATTTTCATTCTATATTGTGGAGCTCATGTTTTGACTCAGATCTATTGGATTTAAAGGAAGTCCTTCTTCTGAACTCTGAAACACGGTGACCTTTTAGCTTAAATATCAATCTGATTAAGATACAGATCAATATTTCGTTTCATTTTTATACTTTCGATGGCCTACACTACATGAAGATCTGACAAGTTGTACTATATAAAGGTCGTGTCAGGGGTCATACAAGCGCCTTTTGACCCTATGACTTCAAACATTGATTAATCAATCAGTGTTGATGTTTCTAGTGGTTTACCCACAGTTCCGTGCATGACACGCCAAGAAGTTGCCGTAACAGACCGTTTCATTGGTTTATCCCTCACTTCAACCAAATCGCCAGTAATATAACAACTCTTCCAGATCCTAGTGTAGTGAACACAAGTAAAACAAACTTTTGAGCTATAAAAAACGAAACGAAATAGGATCTGTGTTTATATCAGAATTAAGCTACAAATTTTAGTTATACTTTTGTATAAAAATGATCAAATGAAATGAATTTGAATAAACCTGAAATTATATAAATATTTTAAAAGTACAAATATACATGTATTTTTTTTTTTTTTTTTACATCTTTCTATTTACGTTAAAGATACATTATTGGAGATTCGATAACGAGTTGGCAGTTCTCACTATAACTATAATAGTTAAAAACTAGATAACGTAAAGGCAATTTGCTGAAAATTTCATTCAAATTGATCCACTATGAACCGAGAACTAAGCGAATGAAATTTCTGCCTAGCCTCGGTCATCGTTACTAAAGTCAGCAGATAAACAGCATAGTCTCGATTATCCATTTAATCGTTAAATCGAGAAGAAAAGTTATGCAGTAAATTGGCTCACAATCCACTTAAGATCGCAGGCTAGTGATGCCATCTAGTGTTGATTATGGTCTGGATAGGTTAATTAATGTCTAATTAATAATTTAGATAACATTTCAGGCCTAAAGAAAGACCTGCAATAGACAGATTTAGCTCTTGCATAATGTATGTTTAAGTTTACCAATTAAATGGACAAATAAAAAAATGTTAGTTTTGAATTTCAAATTTTCTCACTTGTGTTATAGCAATTTTGCCCATGAAATGTACTAAAATAATATTTGTATAAATGGCTGTGACTGGATGATATTTAATCCTTGATTTTTCATGTCATTTGTCATAAAAAAATAAGGACAATAATAAACCACTTTTACCACCATTTAATATAATGGTTTAAGGAAAAGTGTTTACCAGTTTTAGAGCTATTTTATTCTTCTTATTTATATGAAAGAGAATTAGAGAGAGGGTGAATTATTTGCAGTATTCTGTTTCACACAGTGTTAATGGGTAGAGTTGATTAATAGACTTCACTAATAACCCCAGTTCATTAATTATTGAAACATTAGAAGTTGATAATAATCATTTAACAGGTCATGTATATAAAGGGTGTTGTCTCTTGTTGAAAAAAGGATGTGTGCGCTTAGTATCCATCTGCTAATATGTACATGTGGAGAAATTGACTTGTGAAGTTGGTTTAGGGTTAACTACTGGTGAACTCAACTCGCCACAAAAAGTGGATCTTAGTTTATTCAATTTATTCATACCACTACTAGTCAGTCTCTCCAGCTTTCTTCTGTATATATTTGGCATGGTGTCAATGATTGAAACTGTCCTATAGTTACTTCAAGATGTTTTTAGTGTGGAAATTTGTCCTAAATTTGTGAGCCAGCCAGTCGTTCTAGATTGGCCAGCTCCATGCACTTAGAGAGACAAGCCTAGAGATTTAATAACACTGACAAAATTGTGAATTTGTATGTAACAGTTGAGTGAACACCAGACGAAGGTGATTATAAGCTTGTTATATTTTCAATAAGATTTAAATGATTAAATGATATGGAACAGTCATCAAGTGGTAATAAATATCATTTATAATTGAATTGAAAGTGGATCCAAGTCCATCAATAGTGCTGTATTCAGTTTGGTGAAGACAAGCTCTCTATTTGTAAGTAAGTATATATTTTTTAAATCCACTTTTTAGCAGGATATAGTTGTAGACATTTTTAGTAGCATATTCATGTTAAGATTCATAATTATAAATCGCTATGCAATGATAGAGGTCCACTGGACATTTCAGATACTTAACTGAACAGACTAAATGGAACTGAAAAGAATGTCTTATTAAGACTACACATGATACAAGGTCCATATTTTTGTACCTGTCCGTATTTTTTGTATCTCTATTTTATATTTTGTATATTCTAAGCTGTCCTCAAAGGATATTTCGATGCAATAAGAATTCTATTCAATGAAGAGATCGAGTTTACTCTCCCAGCAGCGCCTCTTAACCTTGTTTAAAAAGTAATTTGTTAGTCTTGGATGTGAATATTCTATTACAATGACAATCTTCTTTAGATTCCATACTGCTATTATAGATTTCCTCCACTTGAGGGAATATTGGATAACATGTTTTAAAGTAACAGATCTTCAGCATAATTCAGTCCTTTATAAAATTTTGGATATATATACAAAAATAATATACATGTACAGTAATGTAATTTATTACATTTCACCCATTATTCATTTATAGGCATGTTAAACATAATTTAATGTTATATCAAAACACTGAGATGGATTAAGCAATGTTTGTTTATCTATGAGAAAAGTTAACATCTGAGATTTAGGACTGGTCTTGAGACCATGAAACATTTTATTGGGGTGTTCAATTCAGATTTTGCTTTATACCTAAAATGCAATATCAATATTTATTTGACTTGGTCTAGAGTATAGTACACGGTACTTTGAGCGCTAGCATGGTGATCAAAATATAAGTAGAAACTTTATTTCCTAATAAAATTTTTTGAGATCTCATCAGTGTGTGCATCTAGTTACATAAATAGAGAGACCATAAGAATGAACACTTTTGTAAAAGGAAATAATTATAAAGGGTGTGGACAATGGGTTACAGACACACACCTATTTTTTCAATAATTTTGTAAAATGCATCTCCATTTATTTTATACACAATTATTTCTTTAACATATGAAATATTATACATGTAGTATAGCAAGCCTCTATATATAACCAATTGAAATTAAACAGGAAATAAATATGATTGACCTATTATGTGTGAGTCATAACATATAAATTCAAATACATGTGTGTATTACATAAGGAGTAGAAAAAATCTATAGACACATAAAGGTGTTTGTTGCCTTAAAAAAAGTAAATTCTGGAGTAAACAAAATTGGATGAAATGTGATATTTGATAATTTAATGCATGTTGGTATTATTCGTACATTAAATAATTGAATGTGAACCTCTTTACCCCTTTAAATATCCCATTATTTGAACAATTTGAATTTGAAAGTCTCAGATCTCTTTTGATACATGTATTTGCGGCAGAATAGTAGACTGTAAAATGATAGATTATGACCAGTGGTAAACCTAACAAAATTGCTTTAATGTTTAGCCATGCATAAAATATGGGTTATTATTGATATCCAGAACATGATATACATGTATATAGGAAAGGTCATACACAAAATACATGTTGGATTGTTATACTGTATGGCCCGTAATCATGATTTTAATGTCAAGGTTCAATTAATTTGGTCTTTCTTACACTTAGAAAAATAGGGCCATGTCCTCAAATATTCAATTATCCAATGGAAATAAGACAAAAAGTAATTTCATCAGCTTCCACAAATTTGCATGTGGTGTTTCTGTTAACGGACAGACTGTGTGTGTGGCTAGTTACTTATCCATGCGAAAAAAAATACATTATAACTTTATCAAAGTTCAAGAGTTACTAATTCAATTTGTTTGTTAAATGTCGACCAAATGACAACAGGCTAGAAATTTGAAAACGGGCAGACAATTGTTTTAGGAAGTTTGATGACTGGAGGCTGTATAATTGAATCTGATATTTACATAAAAAGTATGTCAGGGATGAACTAAAACAATTTAAACATTGACAAGTCTATAAAAAAAATCATGACTTTTAATGCTGTTCATTCATAGATAAAAAAAATCTTTGATGTTGAACAATGACGTACAAATAAGAAGGGTAAATGTGATAGACATTCTCAGAAACTTTGCCATGTCTTCACATTGCAATGTTTTGATACAATTCTTAACACTGCTGATATTTTTTTTTCTCCAGATAAGTGTTTAAAGGAATATCCTGTAATTATAATTAAAAAGGAAACACCCGTTGGATTTGATAACTATTCATCTGATGGTTACAAGGAATGGTAGACAATGGTAGATAAAAATACTTTTTGAAGAATTGTTGTTCTGCAAGATAAAAGATCACAAACATTATTGCTTGACATTGAATGAAATATTTATACAAATATTTATACAAACAAAATACAAAATGATAAACCATGAGGACAAATTGTGTGATTTAGTTCTGAATAGTTCTTTACAAACTGAAAGTTCTGCTGTTATGGATGAAATTGAAAGCAGAAATGAAGGCACCAAAACATTTTCGTCACCTAAAGCAGTACTGCTTAAGAAATCTTCATTTGAAGAATTGTTGATGCGTGGCCATCTTGCCAAAAGTGGAGAAGATCCAACTTGTGGAGAAATAAGACCAGAAGATTTCCCACCTTGTGATTGTGATGATTGTTTCCTGGGTGATGTTTCTAAACCGGCCAAGAGTCTGCAAAGAAAACTTTCAAGGGTAATTTTATCAAGCTTTTCAAAATATATAATGTCTGCGGCATAGAATCTGACAATCAAAATTTAATGCATTTTCAACTAGTAATATAAGCTTTACTTTTATAAGCCCAAATTGAAAATGGTCGTATATTGTCGTCATCCTCGTTCATTTGTCGTGGATGCTCGAGTGGCTAATACTTATCATTCGATGGACATGAAATTTATACAAAATGTTTATGTTCATGAGCTGAAGAATCCTATTGATTTTCAACAATATAGCTTGATTGTTTTGGGCTTATATTTCATCAACTGGCAAAAATATCTTTTATTCAACTTTGTTCAGATGCAATTGTCCTGTGGAATGTGAAGTATCTTGCCCTATAGTATCTTGAAGGCATTGATCTTTACTTATAGCCTTATTTCTTTTAGGATTATTTAGCTTAGTGTGAAGATTATCGAAAAACACTATCACCATGTTTCTGAGAAACCACATTATTTTATTTCATTAAAAGGGAAACAAATACTACAAGACAAAGATAATGTACTTAGGGCGTTGGCTTGGTAATTTCTGAGTTCAAGTAAATCCTATATAAAGAAATCTCTATTACATTCTTAAGGGTTGAAGATTTCTTTAGTATTTTTGCAGTGTTTAATGCACTTCAAGCATACTTGAAATAATAGACCAGTGTAATAGTTCACCTTTCACATATTTGAGTATTTTTAGATTATAAGGATTACATGGGACATGTATTCATGAGGATGCTCTAAATACTTTTCCACATGTATGGCCTTGTGCTCTCCATTCATTGGTGAGTGCACACCTACTTGTACTCATTCTTAAATGATTTTAGCACCATTTTCATGAATAGTTAGTATTGGGGAAAAGATGATCATAATTGATCGATAAATGTCATTTCAGCAAAAGTGGTTTCTGCTAATGATTTATGTGAATGTTAATCAAAGTATATTTTATTAATGTTAATCAAAGTATATTTTATTAATGTCAATCTTGAAAGATTTGTGGGAGGTATTAATTGCAGATTTAATTTTCCGATTTCCAACCAAGCTTAACATATAAGATTGTAATTTGAAAGACTTACTAAAACCACACCTCATAATAAATTAGGGTTGAAGTATTTATTCAATCCTTTGTGTATACTTAACTGTTGGAATGAATTATAATATATTAAAATAGAAATATCATGGTTGTCATTTAAATAAAGGAGAGGTCAAGAAAATGACCAAAAATAATAAAGATGTCATCTGTAAGTGGTACAATCTAAGAGAAAGTCAACAAAGCTCTTAAATAAAAGATTTATCTTTATACTTGTGTGTTATTTTTGTCAAATCTTATAGATGATTAAGATCACCATATCTATAAATTTTGCAGTCTTGGGTTAATTTCAGCAAGGGATTGATAGGTATGCTTTAATTTCTGGAATCTCAGAATTTGAACTTATCCTGGGTTATCATTATGTCTAATTCTAGACTTGAAACAGTATGGATATTTTAGTTTAGAAAAGACAAGTTGACAAAATAATTATACTGTATGGAGAACAGGCTTTATATATATATTAGTAGATTAGTGCTTATTTTATATTATATAAAACCAGGTGATGATTATATTATTTTTGTTTTGAATATTTTATATTGTTGAAACTGAAAGTGATGATGGGTTGTCATGGTTATGTGAAACAAGGTCAGCAGTAAGTAATTGTTTTAGGTTTGTGACACTTGTTCAGTTAGGTTAAAAAGATGCTTTTATAGACTCACATTGAGATATGGTTGTGTATATTTGTCCACAATTTCTTATGGATGCTCTAACGGATAAGGTTATCATACAATTGAAATTTATCATACAATGTTTCTGAGAAGAATCCTATTGATTTTCAACAATTTGTGATACTTGCCATTGGTGTTATAGCCCTTCATCATTAGAAATATCTTGTGGACATAAGGAGGCAGACCACCATTAAATTTCATCATCTCGGTACCCACGAATTGTAGTTCGTCTATTTATAGCAATTCTCTCTCTCTCTCTCTTTTCTCCCCTTTTGCATGCCCATTTGTGTTGATTTTTTGGTCTAGAATGGACGAAGAGGGTTTGAATTAACATTTTCTGCCTGGTTTTGGTAAATATTCATGATTTTGAGGCGGAAGGATAAGAGGGTTATCAGGTTAGCTACGGCGATATGTACGGCAACTAGTTACATGTTTTTAGTATGCTTCTTCAAGTTTGTGTATCTCAAAATTTTGGTGGTCAACCTCATACAAATTTTAGTGCAAAGACATGACCATTTGTTCCTCTGTCTGTAGTGAAAAGCATTCAGCCCAACGAAAATTTGGGGAAAAGTTGGAGGTGGGCAAAGAGGCCAGAATTAACATTGAAGTCAATGGGGAAATTAATGGTGGTCTGCCTCCTATATGAAAACAACCTGACAGTGGATGAAAGGCCTAAATTTGATGATATGATCTCCAAATTGTCAGAAAATGTGATATATGGCATTTTGATGGTAAAAAATGTGAAATGGTAAAATTTCTAAAATATTTGACAAATTTGGGAGGGGAAATTTTGATTTTAGTCAAAATTTTGTGATTTTCAGTGTTTATTTACTTTTCAAAATTAGTGGAAAATATTTTAATGTATGATTTTTACTTTTTCTGCATTATAATTGTTAGACAGGAAGAAAGTATCATAATTTCACTCAATTTTGCCTAAAAATCATGATAAATTGTCTGAAATTCTTCAGATTACCCCCAATATTGCCGTCAAAATTTTAATTATTCATCTGTTGTAAAATGAACCAAAATGTCTTGCATGTCTTTATTTTCATTGTTAAATAACTTGGCAAGGATCCATGTGTTTGTCAGATATTGAAAAAGTATTCATGTGTTTGTCAAAAATTTAAAAATTAAGAAATTTAGTCTAATTATGTTCTGCTTAGGTGTGTTAGAATTTTCAAAACATGAGTGAACTGCATTTTGCTGCTGTTTTCCTCCATCTTAACACAATTTTAATCTTTCAAAACCTGAAATTGTTGCATTTCCCTTATCGAGAAAGTAAAATCTATGTGTTTGCAGGGAAATTTATCTGTCTTCATTTCATTTAGACTGGCTCACCCTCCCCACCCCACCCCTTTTCTTGAAGATGATATTTGGATATTCAATTGAACATTTGTTGACTCCAAATTAGCAGTAATCTGATTTTGTGCTTGACACAAACAAATAGTTACATATAAGATTTCAAGGATTTCTAAGACTTTTTGTTTATGGTCAAACATGTAATCCTATGACATTTCTTCCAAATGAGTCCACACCCCAAAATGGATATGTTGTAGATGTGTTTTTTGCAGCTTAATGTTTTACATTTTGAATGTAAATCTATTATTTGTGGTGATCTTTGAAAATGTGGCACTTACAGGGCAATAAAATATTAATTAATAGCCTTTTCATACCCCTTTTATGCTTTGAATTATGTCAGAACTCCCTTTTTCCATCTCATTTTGTCAGGACATTGATGTAAAGATTAAAACAACTTGCTTCCACATAATATTTACACTATGTAATTTCAAGGATACCTCTGATTGTTAAAGTATTTTAAAAACTGAAATATTCCCATTTTTTAAAAAAAAATAGTGCTTTGCCACCCTTTTATTAGAGTGGCTGGTTGTCACCTAAATACAGCATTTATTTTACATTTATCAATCCATATTTTAATAAATAATTCATACTTCGTATAACAAACTGTGTTTGTATGTATGTATATAAGCCAGGGATAGAAAAACATGGCTTTTAGCCATATTCCATCAACAGTATTACTTATGTGGACACAAGTGGGATTTGTTACCACACCAACATTTTTAGAGGGTGGGCTTACAGGTTTCACTATAGTTCCTTACAGTTACCTTCAATGCAACAAATTTGCAGCTTGTCTTCCTGTATACCGGCCAAGGTTTCTAGAAATAAATGCTTTTCATCTCAGACTTTCCCAGAAATAGGGAAATATTAGCATTTTGAGGCATACAAAGTGTCAAAAATGGACCATTTTGTAGAAAAAGGTAAAAGAAAGTCAATTTTTGAAAAATATTCCAATATTTTGAATATTTTTGATGTGACTTGTCTGAAACTCTTTAAATCTTTTCGCAGAACTCACATTTCGACAAAATTAAGAAAGAATCTTCAATTCTAGAACAAAAGGCCCATGGACCTGAGCTGCAATCCGGTATACAAAACACTACATAACTTTAAAGGGTCACCATTTCTGCAGTAATTATTTTTTTCTGATTCTGTATTATAATAATTTTGCAAAAATAAATGTGAAGCTATAAAGAAAAGAATTTTGATGATATATGAACTTATAAAACCATATAGGAGGCAGACCACCATTAAATTTCATCATCTCGGTACCCACGAATTGTAGTTCGTCTATTTATAGCAATTCTCTCTCTCTCTCTCTTTTCTCCCCTTTTGCATACCCATTTGTGTTGATTTTTTGGTCTAGAATGGACGAAGAGGGTTTGAATTAACATTTTCTGCCAGGTTTTTCTAAATATTCATGATTTTGAGGCGGAAGGATAAGAGGGTTATCAGGTTAGCTACGGTGATATGTACGGCAACTAGTTACATGTTTTTAGTATGCTTCTTCAAATATGTGTATCTCAAAATTTTGGTGGTCAACCTCATACAAATTTTAGTGCAAAGACATGACCATTTGTTCCTCTGTCTGTAGTGAAAAGCATTCAGCCCAACGAAAATTTGGGGAAAAGTTGGAGGTGGGCAAAGAGGCCAGAATTAACATTGAAGTCAATGGGGAAATTAATGGTGGTCTGCCTCCATAAGAGGCTTAAGAGTTGTCTGATTGATTTGAAATGTATGTACATTAGTTTTATAAACTTTTGCTTATGAGACAAAGCAGTTTAAGTTCATAAGCTAAATAAACATGAATTTTCAATGATTTATGATTGCTTTTCGGTGGCTTCTGATGGCTAAAATAATATTAATAATTCAATAATATATCAATAT